ACTTCAATAGCTTTTCAAAAAAAGCTGTATGCTGAGCACAGGATGCTGTGCCAAAATCACTTCCACGAAGGTGATTTTACAGATGGCACTAAAAAATCATTGCTAAGAACTGCAGTTCCGCATGAGGTAAGTTATGAACTTTACTCACCATTGTATTTAATTTAACCAAAATTTGTTATAATTTAAACATAGTAATAGTTTGAAGTATGTAGGCCTACCTACATAAACCTAAAAACATTACGATAGTAAATGAGGACTGTGACTTGATTTATTCTTGTAATTACAGATTGGACCTGTATTCATTCCTGCGGTTACATTGCCCGATAATCTGCAGCCAGGCCCTTCACAAAGAGATTGTGACATTATTTGACACACCACATCTTGTCAAATGCTTTAGAAATCTTTTTTTAAAATATGACATTGAGTGCACTACTAACATTTCATCTGAAGACAAGAAAGGAAAAGGTATGTTCTTGTGACTGTTTAAACAAAAATATGATAAATTTTGTAACACTTAGGGCCTATTGCACGACCTGCTAAAAGCATTTAATTTTAAGATAATTCAAATTTTTCTATTAAAAATTAAAAGGCTCTTAAGCTGGTGGTGCACTTAACACTTCCCTCTAGCATCCCTTTTAGTTTTACAATATTTTATTTACGCTTATCATCCAAGTACTTGCCTCTATTAAAAACTACTTTTTGTTAATTTACAGGTGTGGCCAAATGGTCTCACATAAAAGATTTCTTTGAAATCGACAACAAAAACCCAAATTTTGTGTTCGCTCCTGCTTTGACAAAGGATCACCTAAACCCAAATGCAAAACAAAAAATGCGCGTCAAACTAGCTGCACAAGTTTTGAGCCACACAGTGGCAGCAGGACTTTATGCAAAGATAGCTGATGGTATGTAACAGTGTAGAAGAAATGTGTCATAAGATAGCTCATTAGTTCTATTACATTTTTTATTTCGTATTTCCAGGCGCGCTCAGTACAGAAGCTGCTGTTACTGCAAATGTGATATCACATATCGACAAGCTTTTTGACGCGCTGAATAGCGACTCAGCAGACTTGCGGCGTGGAAAAATTTTCTCCACAAACATGACAGCGAAAAGCCCACACCACAAATTATTTCAGAATATGAAATATTTTTTCAAAACAATGAAATTTATGGGGTCTTTGCGAACACCCCCATCACAGGAAGGTTGGATTTGGACCATTAATGGCGTCGAGCGGCTGTTTAAGCAATTCGCTAATGAGGGTATAAAGAGCCTGGCCACAAGACGGTTACAGCAAGATCCATTAGAAAATTTGTTTGGCTGCATAAGGGGCAACTGTGGCTCAAATTCCAACCCAACTGTGGGCCAGTTTGTGGCTGGCTTAAAAACATCAATTTTGAGCAGACTGGCACATATTGGGACCACAGGATGTAATTGTGAAACTGACAATAATGTCGTAATGAATAACTATGAGACATTATTGTCAGTTTCACAACCCAGGAATTGTGCAGACATATTGGCATCAGAGTGCAGTGCATTTGCATTGTCGTCTTCAGTAGAACCACAAAATATTGAAGAGGACAATGCAGAAATGCAAGCATGCGCATATGTCTGCGGATTTTTAATTAAAAAAATATGCAGTGTCAACAATTGTGAGCCATGCAAGCATATTTTTGTATCCACAAATGTGGAAAAAGTCCACAAATTTGTAGACTATAAAGAATACAATGAGTTGAAAAAAAGTTTGCACTATGCAAATAAATCTATTATATCATGTGTTGAAAAGTGTGCGACATTAATAAATTCATTTTTTAAAGAAAAAAGTCACAAACGTAATTTAAAAACAATTGCAAAGGAAATGGTGCTCCAAAATGTAAATTTTGATTACATAAAAAAATGCGAACAACATGGCACACAAAATATTCACCACATCATAGAAAGTGTTTTCTTTATATGTGTGAAAAGATTTTGTATACTAAAAAACAGATTGTTTGCAGATGAAGCATCAGCATCTGCGCTCAAACGCAAGATGAAGATAATTATGCATAAATAATAATTATTTATGCATAATTATCTTTATTGTTCCAAGTTTCAGTGTATATCCTGATGCTTCTCATTGTAAATACCGTTTCTTAAGTGTTTTCGTGGTACCGTTTTTTTAAAGTGGTTTATGTAAATTATTCATTTGTAGAGAAGAAAACACTGAAACTTTTCATTTGAATTACCTAGGTAATTCGACCACGACTACGAACATTACAAAATTATGTTGATTTCGTGTCCAAATAATAATAAGGATCCATAAAAGTGAAATGAATAATAATTCAATGAGAAAACGTTTTTGTTTTATTTCAAGATCATTTGTTAAATATCTAGTGCTCTTTTGGATGCATAGGCCATTTCATTTGTAAGAAAACTCAAATGAATGAGTTTTCCCATTCATTTGAGTTTTCTTACAAATGAAATGGCCTATGCATCCGAAATTAATAAATTTCTGGGGAACCTGGACCTGCCGGCAATTCAAATTTTTGCCGCCAGATATTCAAATATTGCCGCCACATGTAGTTTTGGGTGGGTTGATAATAGGTGGCGATACATTCGCGTATCTTAGAATCCGTGTTCCTAGTCGTCGTTCTTCCTTTAGGTAATTGTGTTCTGTGTACTAGTCTGTTTGAAGTTACAATTTTTTAAGTTTGATCAACATTCAACAATGACAATATTGGTTTTGTATAATTCGAGATTTTGAACACGTTACTTACTTTATTTTGCTAAAATATGTAATATTCGATCAGATTTTATACACTTCGCTAGTCGAATACTCGGACGAGACGCGAACGGGCCGAGAAGGTTAGAATGACTACATAGAAATTTTTAAGCATTTATACTAATCTTTCTATATATCTGTATTACAGAGGAAAGATCACTCGGATCTGGTGCAAGATTGTAAATAATTTGAAATTCAAAGCCTAAGAAAAGAAAACATACTGAGAGCAGCCGTTCAGAATTTGCAATAATACACAAAAAATAATAAGCAGTTTACTTCTACGGATGTTGCAAGTAGTTCAAAATCTGTTAATATAGATAATTCGATTGTACAATTTATTATTAAAACCATGTCACCAGTATCCATAGTGAAATATTAGTCTTTTAAAGCTTTGATTAAAAGTAAACTGCAAATAACTAAGCCTCCAAATGAAATTATCAAAAATTGTTAAGACAGTTACAGGTAACGGTTCATGCACATGTTTTGAGATGACAGAAAATTCACCATTTAAAACTTCTTCATGCGTGTCTCTTACAATTCCATACAAGATCTTTAAGCCGTACAGAACAGCCTTAGTCAAACTATGATAAAGTTAAAATGACCTCAATTAAGGGACAATGAAAATTTATAAATATGTGGACTGTTCAAAAAGCCAATAATTTTGACCAGTCCAGTCCATTTAACCACAGTATAAGCTATTCAATTAACTATAAGTTTGACAACAATTATAAATAACTTAATAAAAACAATTTTAATAATGAGATTATCACATTATGATAATTAATATGACATTTGTATACCTATTTTTAAATGCCTGGTATAATTTACGTTTTGCAAGATGTCGGTCAAGCATAGCTCATAAACTCACACTCTTATTGCATATAGGTAACCAGAGATAAAGCGTGTTGATGTCCAATTTGAGTTATGAACTTATGGAGCCGCAATAGTACTAGATATCTTGAACTGTCGCGCATTGCTAGTGCACGTTTGCTCTCCCGCAAGTTCCATTAACAGAGAGTGACTATTCACAGAGATTGGAAATATATACAAAACAAAATGTAATAGATTGAACCCAGATAGGGCAGAAGCTTTTATCATTTTACACCACAATTTACCTGAAATCAAAACTTATAAATACCGAAGTACTTAATACAAAAATATATGAAGTTAACATTTTTGTTTCTCACAAATTGCATTTGGATAAGTTTGTCTAAATATTTAGACTGATGAATTATTTTAGTCTTTATTTTGTATAAAGCTATTGATATATAAAAATTCTGTTGTCATAGATGTGCATCTGTAGGTACCTATGAGCAATCTTAGTTACATATTGCTTAGGGTAATTGCATGCATAATCTTTATTGTTTCATTTGTTGTAATTAATGACGTTTAATGAATATCTTTACAAGTAATTTTAATTTTTTTGATTCCATCGAAATCTAAATATTTAAAACAAAGTCGTGTTAGTTACACTTACACCACTTACAGCTCAAGATCGGCTGGACCGATGTTAGTTATCTCTTTTTTAGTGGATTTTTCTCCGCTCTGAATGGCATAATAAGGAATAAAATATCGGATAAGTTATCAAATAAAAATAAATTAATTTTACGAATGCAAACAGCATGTGGTGCCATCTGTTGACAAAATTACGCATATAAAAGAAACCTACCACTTTGTTCTTGCGCCGAATAACAAAACAAAAAATGTTGTAGGTACATATATCAGAAAGTGGTTTCACAATTCACATGCAGTAACGAAATATTGGCGTTAGAGAGAAGAGGCCTATTGTGTAAAACTGCCATTATTTTTTCCCAATTGCAAGCAATAAAACATTTCTGTTTTATTGCTTGCAATTCATTAATGAAATCCTAAACTAAAGTTAACACGATAATATTAGACTGTTAGGGGGAATGAAGTTCACCGGGTCCGCTAGTATAATATAAATAAAAGTGTGTTCACATTACAAAAATACAGATCAGACTAATTACAAAATAATAATATTAATTAACAGCTATCTTTTTATTTAAGGTAACTGTGTAATTAATATAAGTATCATACAAGAAGCCACATAATCGGCTTTTTACTGACTAGACAGACATCATTAATCCCTTCATCACATATTTTTAATAAATAATAATATATTTTTAGTCCTTTCTAAAAACAGGATAAAATAAAGGAAATAAAAACAATAAAATATGACTTTATTTGTCAAATGAGACACATTCAAAAAGTATCCATTATTGATCAAAAGTTAAAAAGATTTTCTTCAATGGCTTTCTCTGAATCCCAAGTCTGAGTAGAATCCGGATCATACTTCACTCTCTTACTTTTAATGGGACTGTTAGTACCAGAACTGAGCTTTCGTTTCTTTATTTTCTTAGAAACCTCTCGTTCCAGTTTTATTGGTTCCTGAAATTCACCACTATTTTCTAAGGACCTTTTATTTTTTTTTTGCTTCTTTTTCTTAACTGTTATATTATCTTGAACAGCAAGGGAATTTAGTTCTTGATCTGTATGTAAGCGTTTGGCAATTTCCACTGGGACTTTAATCAATTTCTTATAATGTATTCCAAAGAGTGGATGACGACACTTGGTGTCCGGTAACGGTATAAAATTTGTTTGATCGTTAATCATTATTTCATTGTCGGGTATATGCACTTTCGGCACTTTATTCTTTAAATGAATACATCCATTTGTTCTTAAATTTTTAATTAAAGGCTCGTTTTGATGATGAAATGTCAATATGGGTAACCTAAGGTTATTGTTGTCTACCATATACTCATAAACCTTTCCACCCACTTTTAACTTTGTTTTGTTACTTAAGCTTAAGGGTATATCTTTAAGATGCATAATGTCAACATCTTGAGGACATTTAACCAGCCAAACATCATCTGAGTCTGTAATAGTGGAATCCTTAAGCTTAGTTTTGGGAGAAATTGGCTGTAGATTAGTATGTTTCTTTAAATATCGTCTTATTTGTTTTTGATTAACATTTGCCTCAATAACACTTCCATTAAAGTCATTACTTTTGTTGAAATCTAAATCTTCTTCAAACTGTATTCGGTCAGAAACCTTTGATAGATTCCTTACAGTGGATTCCAATTCATCAACATTACCTCCATTACTTTCAAAATGATTTTCACTGATAGAATTATTTTCATCTATGCATTTTAGGTCACTAAAGTTATTACAAGTGATTTCAGATATATTACTATCGTTACAGTTCACACCAGAAGATCTACGCTTCTTTTTCTTTTTTTTATGTTTAACATAATTACTATCTTCTGTAGCTGAATGTGGGTCATCTCTATTTGAGTATGATCTAGTATTATCTGTCTCTTCAATTGTAATTTTGTCCTCATTATTACTTAAATCTAGAAATCTGTCATCGTTGTTTAGTTCTACAAGAGACTGTTTTCTCTTTTTCTTTTTATTTTTATTTTTTACTGGTATATCAGAGTCATCAAAACATGATGAATGTTCTTCTTTTACTCTCAAGTTTAAATAGCTGTCATTAAATAGTACCTTGTTACCAATACCACCTTTACTGTTTTCATTTTTAACAATTTTCAAGTCTATGTCACTTCTATGTTCATCTTTTATAAAATTTTCATTTACAGCTTTATTCTTAATCTTTTTATATTTCTCACCTACTTCGTTTTTAACAAAGTCTTCTTTTATTTCAGACTTCATTTCAGAGAACTTACGAGATCTGAAATTATACATTAATACATTTAGTTATGCAAATATTTATTTAGATGAAATAAAAACTAAGAACTAAATGAGACTTTTATAGTTTCAAGTAGCTTATCTCTTTGTTAGACTATGTTTAAGTTTCAGGGTTCTTCCACTTATCTATACTAATTGATAATTATCAATAAATTTAAAAAGTAAAGTTTGTGAGGATGTAGGGGGTAATCTCTGGATATACTAAACTGATTTTAGAAATTCTTTCACCAATAGTAAGCATTTTCATTATTTATGAGTATGATAGGCTATAGTATATACTACCCCTAAAACTAGTATGTAATTTTGATATTAGTGAGTACTACATATATTTCAAATACTTTTGTTATAAACAATAATTATAGTGTGCCGCCTGTTCGAGATCAAGAAGCACATAACACTTACGTACTGCCATCATCACTATCACTATTGCTATTTGAAGCACTAGTCCACAAAAAACTTTCGTCTGAAGACATAACGACTAACGAGTTTCGAACTCTTGAAACAGAAACATGGAACTACTCGATTGTAAAAGACCAATGACAACAATAGGTTATGTTATAAGTATAAAAAATAAAGTTACGATTATTAAACTGATGCCTTTTATACCTGCTAGGTAAATAAAGTTATCGATTACAACATATTCTACATTTTATTTAATATACTGAAAACTATAATTATTTTATGAATATACAAGCAATGCAGTGAGAGACTGTGTTGCCAGTAGCCGAGAGAGAATTTGTATTTTAAATGTAGGAACTAGTGTTGCGCACCTCATACATGAGGCACCTCAAATGTCACACTCAAAGTTGTCAAATGTCGCATCACCTCAAACACACATTTTGTACCGCTTCAAACTCGTTGAGATATTTCAAACGCGGGCTAGGCGCTGAATGTGATTGAGGCGGTGAGTCGTATGTCATGAATGAGTTGAGATGAATTATTTTGTCTTATTCTCCCATCCCAAGTAGGACAATGACAATAGTTAAAAATCGTGTCTGATGAGCAACTGATTAAATCGATATTATTGAATGAGTGACAGTGACTGTTCACTGTGACATATTATTGTAATTGGTTTTTGTTTGCATAAATAACTTGACTTTTTGAAGTTATACTTCTTTAGGCGCGTTATGAAAAATTGATGAGAGTGAAATTTTACGTAGCGCGCGCACCGTTACACAAAATTAACAGAATGAAGTTGCCCACGGAAGATGCTACGGCATTGGACATAATTTAAAAACAACATTCGAATAATAATAGAATTTATGTTACACTTAATGTAAGAGAATAATAATAAATATTTAATTTTTCAAATGTAAACTGAACTTTTTGATTGACTATAATGACTCCTTTTCCAGTCTTTGATTGTAATTAATTATTTGCATGCAATCAAAAACTATTTTTAATAATGCCAAAGAAGTATAACTTCTTACGCGCGTACATAAGTACACGCACCCTTTTTTATTTATTTTTTTATGGTCGAAAGACCTGCGCCATAGAGACAATGGGTTCGTACATAAAGGGACTAACAGTACAGAACAGAATCCTCAAATGAAGTGGTACAATGTATTAACTCATTTTATAAAATGAGGTGGGACATACAAACACTTCAATTTCGTTTGTCCTACCCATCACTAGTAGGAACTATATAATATAGTCAACTCGATAATGTAGCGCCCTAGCGCTGCCTGGAGATAGTTGTGCTGACTAATACACAACCAAAATTTTATGATATGTTTGTTACGTTGCTCATGGGAGGTATAATAGAAATAATATAAATTAATGATGAATTACCGGAATCTCATGGCATAAAACAAAAATTAAAAAATAACATCTTCATATGGCAATGTCAAGTGTCAACCGTCAAATCAAAGTACGAGATCTGTCTATTGCGGCTGAGATTTATAGACCACAAGCCCATGAACAAAAAATACCTGTGAAATGACCCAACGTGAATAACGATTAGAATGGGGCGTTCCCACGGAGCGTTAATCACGACAGTCAACTACGCTAGTCAACTGTCGTTCGTGACACTCACGAAAGTGTGAATTGATGAAACGTTCACATGGTTGGGGGATTTCGTGCCGTTCACGCTTCGTGTTTCGACTTAGTCATTATCGAAACATCGATCATGAATGATCTGGTTGTTGAAAGTTGTGCTGTTTTAAGTTCGGTTTTTGCTACTATCATAGCAAAAAAGATCATGACACAAGAAAACGAAAAAAAAAGACGTTCATTCATGACTTATTCTCATAGCTGCGGCGGCACGTAAATCTCTATCACGGTATTCCTCCAAACTTGGATCATATAACACCTTTTCCATAGAATATAACTCCAAAAAACGCGTAGTTTCACTGTCGTTAAACTTAATTCCACGTTGTTGTGACGACATCTTGGCTTCACGAACGGTATATCACGACTGAAAATCAAACACGTTTGATCTATCCACGCTTGTGTCGTGCGCCGTTCCTCACGAAAGCAAATTTAACGCCTATGCGTTCACACAGAAGTGTATTTCACGAAAGCGTGGTTGACTGTCGTGATTAACGCCTCGTGGGAACGCCCCAGAAGGCTGTTACTATATCAGAAAATAATTCTGAGCACTATGCCGTCATTTCTGAGCGGTACATGTGAGTACGTGAGTGAATGGAATTTCTCAGGTACAAATGAGGAATTTTGACTAATTATTAATGTACGGCTTTGTTACAAGTGTATAGATGATTAAAAATAAATGTCGAAAAACCTAGTACCGTACTAAAGTGATGGTACCGGAAGTCGGTGCAAATTTTTAATTCGACGATAGTTGCAGAAGCAATATAGGTCATTTATTACTGTACGGCATTGGTGTGATTCCTTTTGGACACATATAAAGATACTTTACCCGTAAACGCCGTACATATTTCCAGCGGAGCGGTCGAAAGCCAAGGGTCGCAACCCTACCCCTACACCCATATACCCTAAGGTCATTGTAAAATGTACGGCAACATGTTCAAAATATTGTTTAACACGGACAATAATGTTTTATAATTATGCCGTCCAAAAATTATAGTTAATAATTGTGTAAATAAATATTTATCGAAATTTCAGGATTTACTGAGTTATTACTGCTGTAAGATCAGAGAATAATGTACGGCAGCTTGTTTTTTTACATAATGTTACTAAATACCTATTACCGTTGTACCTTATAGCCGTTCATTATAAATGGTAACAAATAAAAATATTATGATAAAATATATATGAAATTTCCGAAATTTAGATGATTATTCAAATATTCCTAGAGTAATATGAGGAGTAATACTTTCAAAGATTATTGTTATTTTATATGTAACAAATATAAATAAACAAAAAAAAAACAGATGCCGTACATTTTACTCCAGATTATTCTTTACAGCTGATGAAAAACTTCGACGACGTTTGAGGTGTCCCTTAAGGTCATTAATAACTGTACGTATCTGAGTATACTACCATAAGGCTGTAAAGTATATTTACAGCCTTATCGTACCAGCAGAGAGAGGTAAAGGAAATATATTTTTAACAAAAATAAAAATATAATACAGGGCGTCCCAAAGTTATGGGACATGAAGGGAAAGTACCTTTAATATCGTAGATAGAGTAATTTACTGAAAGATGACTTTATATTATTTTTAAAAGTTAGTAATTCTGCATTCAAAGATTTTGTAAAATTTACTTGCCTCGTCTGGAAATCGAACCGGCTTAAATGTAAAAAAAAACACCCCTACTTTTATGATGCCAATCGAAAGAATGGCCAAAACCTAATAACTTTTCTAAAGTAACAGACTCGTAGGGGATTTTTTTAGGCCGAATACGATAGATAATGTTTTTAATTTGATTAAAAAGTTATATTCACGCAGGTCCTTTCTTTTTTACATTTAAGTCGGTTCGATTCCCAGACGAGGCAAGTAATTTTTAGAAAATCTTTGAATGCAGAATTACTAATTTTTAAAAATAACATAAAGTCTTCTTTCAGTAAAATACCCTATCTACGATATTAAAGGTACTTTCCCTTTATGTCCCATTACTTTTAAACATATCTCTGATTAGCATAAAGGTGATGATGATATAGAACAACATAAAATTAAATGATCTTGAGAGTACTTCACAAATAGGTAAAATTTTAAACTCCAACCTACTGCGCCCTAAAACACCCTGATTCAAGTTATAGTCACGTGACAAAGTGTGAGCTAATTTCATTCTCATACCAATTCTTTTGGCGGTCACGCATGTCGTAAAGTAATTTTGTCTACACATCTGTTTTTGAAGTTATACTTCTTTAGGCGCGTTATGAAAAAGTTATGAGAGTGAAATTTTACGATGCGCGCGCACCGTGACACAAAATTAACAGAATGAATTTAGTGGCGCATGTTGGCACGCACGCCGCCTCTGTTCACTGTGTTTTTATTATACAAGTGCGAATTTTATATGTGCGTCTGAATTATAATCAGAAATGATTTAAATTGAATATTTAAATCAATACTAATTAATATTAGAAAATAATAATAAAAATAATATTAATAAATATTTATTTATTTAATTTTGCAAATGTAAACTGAACTTTATTGACTATAATGACTCCTTTTCCAGTCTTTGATTATTTAATTGTAATTAATTATTTGCATTCAATCAAAAACTATTTTTAATAATGCCAAAGAAGTATAACTTCTTACGCGCGTACATAAGTACACGCACCCTTTTTTTCTGTGTCTTGACCTTGTGTTACTTTTTACCAGTGTATAAACAGTTAAATATTGAAAACAATAATATTTATCGCCTATGATCGGTGGTTTTTTTGACATTTTCACAAGAATAACATATTTCAAGAAGATAATCACAATAGACCACAAGCCCATGAACAAAAAATTCCTGTGAAATGACCCAACGTGAATTACGCTTAGAATTTTAAAAAACAGATGCCGTACATTTTACTCCAGATTATTCTTTACAGCTGATGAAAAACTTCGACGACGTTTGAGGTGTCCCTTAAGGTCATTAATAACTGTACGTATCTGAGTATACTACCATAAGGCTGTAAAGTATATTTACAGCCTTATCGTACCAGCAGAGAGAGGTAAAGGATTAGTTTTTGGCCATTCTTTCGATTGGCATCATAAAAGTAGGGGTGTTTTTTTTACATTTAAGTCGGTTCGATTCCCAGACGAGGCAAGTAATTTTTAGAAAATCTTTGAATGCAGAATTACTAATTTTTAAAAATAACATAAAGTCTTCTTTCAGTAAAATACCCTATCTACGATATTAAAGGTACTTTCCCTTTATGTCCCATTACTTTTAAACATATCTCTGATTAGCATAAAGGTGATGATGATATAGAACAACATAAAATTAAATGATCTTGAGAGTACTTCACAAATAGGTAAAATTTTCCAGCATGCCGTACATTTTTTGTGGAACACATAGGTGTATGGGGTAAATTACTTCCCTCCGAAAAGAGTCATTTTCCGGTGACTTTTATCTGTACGGCAATAACACAGGTTATTAATACTTTAGAAATCTTCAATAAAAGATAAATGCCGTACAATTTCGATAGTCCGCTAGTCTGCGAAATAGCAGATTATTCCACCGCCTACCAATACAGGGCGTCCCAAAGTAATGGGACATAAAGGGAAAGTACCTTTAATATCGTAGATAGGGTATTTTACTGAAAGAAGACTTTATGTTATTTTTAAAAGTTAGTAATTCTGCATTCAAAGATTTTCTAAAAATTACTTGCCTCGTCTGGGAATCGAACCGACTTAAATGTAAAAAAAACACCCCTACTTTTATGATGCCAATCGAAAGAATGGCCAAAAACTAATCCTTTACCTCTCTCTGCTGGTACGATAAGGCTGTAAATATACTTTACAGCCTTATGGTAGTATACTCAGATACGTACAGTTATTAATGACCTTAAGGGACACCTCAAACGTCGTCGAAGTTTTTCATCAGCTGTAAAGAATAATCTGGAGTAAAATGTACGGCATCTGTTTTTAAAATTCTAAGCGTAATTCACGTTGGGTCATTTCACAGGAATTTTTTGTTCATGGGCTTGTGGTCTATTGTGATTATCTTCTTGAAATATGTTATTCTTGTGAAAATGTCAAAAAAACCACCGATCATAGGCGATAAATATTATTGTTTTCAATATTTAACTGTTTATACACTGGTAAAAAGTAACACAAGGTCAAGACACAGAAAAAAAGGGTGCGTGTACTTATGTACGCGCGTAAGAAGTTATACTTCTTTGGCATTATTAAAAATAGTTTTTGATTGAATGCAAATAATTAATTACAATTAAATAATCAAAGACTGGAAAAGGAGTCATTATAGTCAATAAAGTTCAGTTTACATTTGCAAAATTAAATAAATAAATATTTATTAATATTATTTTTATTATTATTTTCTAATATTAATTAGTATTGATTTAAATATTCAATTTAAATCATTTCTGATTATAATTCAGACGCACATATAAAATTCGCACTTGTATAATAAAAACACAGTGAACAGAGGCGGCGTGCGTGCCAACATGCGCCACTAAATTCATTCTGTTAATTTTGTGTCACGGTGCGCGCGCATCGTAAAATTTCACTCTCATAACTTTTTCATAACGCGCCTAAAGAAGTATAACTTCAAAAACAGATGTGTAGACAAAATTACTTTACGACATGCGTGACCGCCAAAAGAATTGGTATGAGAATGAAATTAGCTCACACTTTGTCACGTGACTATAACTTGAATCAGGGTGTTTTAGGGCGCAGTAGGTTGGAGTTTTCAGGAGGGAAAAATAGGAATGATCCTATAGCAAAGAAAATAATTTATAATCTAGCAAACAACATATTTTACTGTAACGAATTTTACAAGAGTGACTTTGTCTCAAGCAAGATAATATCATTCTCATACCAATTCCTTTGGTGGTAGTGGGTCCCGCCTGTTTGTGATAGTTGCTTATTATTCTGTAGAGTCTGGCTAATGAAAATTGATACTGAAAATATTACAACCGTTACACAGATTAATACAAGCTGTAGAAGCGTGATCTTGATTGTACCTATTATACTTGACATATGACAACGACAGTGACTACTGATTGAAAACTGACGTGAATCGTATCTGAAAGAATTCTTTCTTGTTTAATTTTGTGTCCAACATGGTGAGTTTCTTTCGAAACGAAATAAATCCAATTCTATCCATTTTATTATCGCACTATTAGAAATGGTTATAATCCGTTATAATTTAGGAGTTGTTAACAAGAGTTGTGACCACTGTATTTTCACGAATTTGTATAAAAGCTTTGATATAACTTGTTATAAATCTTTGTTATTTTATCATGTATTATGCGATAAAGTGCTATATATTTAAGGGTTTTATTGGTTATATTCTATGTCATGTTAAGAGATTCGGTCGTAGAAGAGTGAGTGCCACGGTAGGCCCTTAATCCTTAAAGTTTTCGTTGTATTCAGGCTCGAGGACCAAAGAAACACTTAAAGCGTTTAAACGCTCCCAAAGCATGGATGTTGGATAAGCTCGGCGGAGTTTACGCTCCGCGACCATCAACTGGTCCTCACAAGTTGCGTGAGTGCTTGCCGTTGGTTATCTTCTTAAGAAACCGTCTTAAGTACGCACTCACTGGCAGCGAGGTAATGAAGATTGTTAAGCAGCGTCTTATCAAGGTGGACGGAAAAGTGCGCACGGATCCCACCTATCCTGCTGGATTCATGGGTAATGATTTAAATACAGGTTTTGTTTTGAAACGTTAATATACTGACAACTAGTGTAAATATTGGTACTGAGAAGTAAAAGTCTGAATACAAATTGATACTACCAAAGTTGTCATATGAAATCAATGTTTTTTTATACATATTAATTTAATTAATTATTAAAGTAAAATTTATATTACAGATGTGGTTTCAATTGAAAAAACCAATGAACTGTTCAGGTTAATCTATGATGTAAAAGGACGATTCACCATCCACAGGATCACCCCAGAGGAAGCTAAGGTATTTAGTACTAAACTTACCTTTATGAAATTGATATAATAACCTTGCTTCCACAATTTAAATAATGAAACCTTTTTTATTAAATGTTTCTTTTATGGCAAAACATTTATTAATAACAGTGCTAAAGTTGTTAAGCATTGGGCTATTACCATCAAGCTATTTATTTACTTTTAATTACTGTTAGTTTTTGTGTATATAATAGTTTATGAATAAATTTTTTTATAAATTGGTTTAGTCACCTATCCTTCAAGACAAGAAGCCAGCTCTGATATAGAAAATATAAAAAAAAAACAGATGTTTCCATCTCACGCATTGTTTTTCATAAGCTTCTTTTTATTAAATGCAATTGTATTAATGAAATCCATTCAAATACATATTTTAGTACCGAGGTCCTATCTGAGAATAGTGAATAAGATATTGTTGCATGTTATGTTATTTATTTGATTATTATAAGTAAGAAGTTCTAATATTCATAACACATACATGCTACATATTATTTTACTATAATGGATTATTATTATATGTACTTGTTAAAGAGATTATAGTTTATACATTATTATTGAGCAATTAACAATAAGTAGTCATCACTCGAAACTAATATGCTGCTTGATAATTAATTGATATAAGAAAGAGCTAACGTTCATCAGCTGTTGTGAATTATAAAAATTATTGTGATTGTGAATATAACATTCAACTCCTAATGTGATCTAAGTTGAAAAAGGTGAAATAGAATAGAATTCAGTCCATTTTCATATTTCTTGATATTGATTTGTTTCAAAAACAACTTTAAGAGTCAGTGTACACGCCCGTAGTGGTTTAATGTTGTGCATGAGGTGAATTCACCAAGCCCCGTGTGCTCTCTAAGTCATAAATATGAATGAAAAGATGTCGTTTTGCAGTACAAGCTGTGCAAAGTGAAGCAGACCGGCACCGGCCCCAAGGGAGTGCCGTACATCGTGACGCACGACGGCAGAACCATCCGCTACCCCGACCCTCTGATCAAAGTGAACGACTCCATCCAGTTGGACATCGCCACCACCAAAATCATGGATTACATCAAGTTCGAGTCCGGCAACCTCTGCATGATCACGGGCGGAAGGAACTTGGGGCGAGTCGGCACCATCGTGTCGCGAGAGAGACATCCCGGATCCTTCGATATCGTTCACATCAAGGACTCCACGGGACACACTTTTGCCACCAGGTAAGCGGTCGCCTCGCCTTTGGTTAAATTTATGATTAAAATGGGATTGGGAGGAAGCCTCTCGATGGTTTTAGACTTAACTATTATTGATTAAGAATATTTTTTTGTGTTAATGTGAGATCTGCTCAACAGAATGAACAACGTGTTCATCATCGGCAAAGGCACGAAGGCCTACATCTCCCTTCCTCGAGGCAAAGGAATCCGCCTCACCATCGCCGAGGAACGGGACAAGAGGATCGCAGCCAAAGTGGCGCATCACTAGGATTAACATAATAAACGCCTAAAACCCATCCTTCTTTTCATTCACGAATTTCCTGAAATATATTTACTGTACTCGTAGTCTTAACTTATATTGTATAGTGACGAAAGTAAACGACACGACTCTGTTTTAAATCGGCAGATGGAGTGCTAATCTAATAGAAGACGTATCTTGTCGGTTTTCCGAGCCTGCATAGCACTCTCAACTCATTCTTTCTAAAAACGATGGAGAGGCCTCCCAGACCTGGAGATACGAAGCCCTTATCTAAATTCTTACATCCAAACCAACGCCCACAAGTTTGGGCAAATCAAAAGGATCATCACTCCACAACGTCTCGCATTGGCAACGCTGAAATGAAAGCAGTCGACCCTTGGAGCATTTATTGACATTGAAGGCGCTTTTTTGACAACTAATTTCGCGAGCATAACCAGAGCACGAGGAACGTGTGGAATAGCATCAACTCTTACAGAATGGATCAACAATATGTTAAAACAACGAGCTACACAATTTACGGTAAATACCACTTCACGAAGTACCTATCGTCAGCAGGTGGAAGAAGCTGAAAAAATATGAGTGTTTAGTGGCTCTTGGGCTGTCCATTAATCACGTAAGGTTAGAAAGGGGGGGGAGGGTTCAGCAAAAATCACGAAATATCACAAGATGGAGGGGGGGGTATAGTAAGATATCACGTGTACTTATTTTTTCGTCAAACGCGTGATTTCTAAACCGAAAAGCGGCTTAGAAAAACGATCTCGATCAGTAGATCGAGAGAGAGTCTCTGCGTAGTGCGCGTGATGACGCCGAATGGCTTTATGAAACCGACGTTGATTTTCAACAAAGCACAATGACTTGCAAGATGCTTATCCAGTAGTTAGTATTGAAGAAAATCTCGTTAATCCGTGGCAATGTACATTCAATATGTTCATGTACAATATATGTTTTTCGCATGATTACACCAATCCTATAATATTATTTTTATGCCTGTCAAAAACAACCTGCAACCTTTCTGTCTGGACATTTTTATCATGGTCCTTAATTTTCTAGAATAGGATTAGATTATACTTTATACCAGTACTTAGAAAATATTATTAATTATATTAAATATTATTATTAAAATTTAAGATTCTTTGTAGGTGATGAAAAAATACACGTGATTTTTGGTGGGGGATAGGGGGTAGTCTCAAACCTCACCACGTATCACCATGGGGAGGGAGGGGTTAAAAAAACATCACGTGATTAATGGACAGCCCCTTACTCCAAACAACGGGCCAGTTTATAGTAAGGCTCTAATGACGGTGATTTTAGCCCAGTAGGTCGCGTACCTACCATCTTAACTTTGGGTTTTTCGGACTAAACCTTCCACCCCACCTAACGGTCACCAATTCTTGACCTAAAACCGCAAATCCGACCCCCGGTTTCACCGCTTAGGTGGACCGTTTTTTTTCTGCTAAGGTCTGCCTTTTTGTCTTAAGAGGTTGAAAGATGGTCCTAGGTTATTTGAATTTTCAAATTTTGGCTAAAAATTATGTTGCAACGCTGAACTCATTGATCGGCAAATGATATTTAAAGTTTATCGGTAAAATGTTTATTTTAAATATAAATATCCTAAGCATTTATATTTTAAGAGAGATTCCAAAATAAACCGTAATCGTCAACTATTTAGTTTAGTAAAGGTTTACTAGTTTTTTTTATTAAGCCGAGGGCAAACTGGCAAGAGGCTGTAGTCTACAGTGTAGATAGATGATCTCACGATGTCAAGTGATACTCCCACTGGCAAGTGGCTCGCAAGTGCGTTCCCGGTCTTTTAAGAATCGGTACGCTCTTTACGTAATTTAACGTAATTTAACGTTTAATCTCGAAATGAGATTACGTTTAGGTCGTTGATACGGGATGAGTCCCTACACGCCGACATGGAGAGATCTCGCGCCGCTGCCCAGATGCACACGTGTGAACTCGTCGGCAGCGTATAGTTGACAAAAGGCGCGGTTTTTTTGGTATCTCGCTGTTGACCTTGACACCTGGGGCGGGCTGTTATGGCGATCATCCGGATCCGTTAAAACGTGTCGGGCCTGATACGACCCAACTGCTCATCGGGAATGAGCCCCATTTTCAAGGTGCGGGTCAAAGTGTACCCAACCCATATTTATAACATCGACACGGCGCGGCGCGCGCAAACTAGAGCTCGGCGCAGGAATTATCAACAGTACTAAGTTACAACAACAACACCATTGGCAGCAAGAAAAACCTTTGTCGTGGAAGACGTAAGCTTTGAACAATGTGTGAAGTTAGTTTACTGGGGCTCAATGGTGACTTATAATCGAAAATAATCCCAGCCGAGAGATCAGTAGACGCATTATGATAGCAAATCGCTGCTACTTTGGCCTTAGTAGACATTTCAAAACGCGATTGGTAGGAAGAAGTTGTCAAAGACCTCGAAACAATAGGTGTTCGAAGTTGCGACACAAGAAGCACTAATGATTGATTGCGAATGCGAAGCATACTTGATGGCTCAAGTTCTGAATGGCTTCAGAACTGACACATACGTACACCTCAAATGTTTCTGTTCCATAGAGCTTCTTTATTACGATGGCATTATTTCTGTTTACTATTTTATCGTGGTTACTTCTATTTTTTAATTAATTACCGAAGACACGCAATCAACACTTGCCCCCCAAGTTGGTCTCTATCTTATTCTCCCACATAAATAAGCATTTACTGCAGAAATTAAATAAATAAAACTGTCAAATAAACAGATATTGTTATACTACATTTTTGGGTATTAAAAAAAAGTGTAATGTTTCAGCATTTCAGGATAATGATATTTTACCCGAAAAGGAAATAAAACGATATCAATTTTAGATTATATTTTTATATAATAAACAATATAATATGTAAAGTAAAATACGCATATTTTATACTTACCTATACTACGATCACAATCTAATGTAAGAATAATTTAACAAAATGGAGATGGAATTGCTTACTTCGACAAATCGGAAGTATCAAGTTCCGGTGACTCAGTGGCGTGGTGCGTACGCAAATGTCGTTCGAGGTCTCTTCGACGGGCGAGAGCTTTTCCGCAGAGTGGACAAGCGTGGGGCGACGGCGACGAAGGAGCTGCGTCAGCGGCGGCGTGAAGCCTCAAGTGCTTGTTTAGGTTGCTAGGGTCGCCGAAGGGTCGGGCGCAGTATCGGCAGCGTAGCGGCTTGTAGCCGGTGTGGGTGCGAATATGGATCTTGAGGCCGTATTTGCGAGAGTACAACTTGCCGCAATACACGCACACGTGCCCGCGGCCCACGCGGCCCCAGGCGGCGGCTAGAGTTTCCATGTCGCTTCCGCCTCGCCACTCCCAGGCCGGACTTGAGAACGCCACTCTGTCGACTGCCGTCGACAGGGTTGCGGCCGCCGTTATTGAGTTTCCGCGGAGTATTTCCACACATTCCTTCCAAAACCTTATCTCATCGAAGGGTTGGCACTTTGAGAACAAATGTATTTTCAAGGGGTTTGGGTTGTCAAACTCGACACTGCACTCGTGGCACTTGTAGTTCCTTTTCCCTGAAAACCAATTATTGCAATATTTTTACAAAATGAAAGTAATCATCACCTATGTTATTTCTATCTCTCTCTTTATCTTGTCTGATAGAGTTAGGAGAATTCGACGAAAAAGCCAATGAGAGAAAGAAATATATCAGTTCTACGTGACCTTTATTGCAAATGGATAATATAAATGATCAAAATAATTGTAAGTGATATTTTCGTGGCAATATAATTTAGGACTTACCCGTAATGTTTCGTAGTGTAAGAAAAGGCATGTCGAGGAGTGCCAATGTAGTTTCATCAAACCACATGGTAAGATCCGCGTGTGGTGGCGCGTCAGCTGCAAGCCGTAGACGCAGAGTGGCTTCTCCCGAAGAGCAATCCATTTTCGGTGGTGCACACACCTCTAGCAGCAAAGCCGCGGCGGGCGGTGACGGTGCAAGTGCGGCCTGAAGCGTCGTTCGTGCCGGGCTACCGCAGCGCAACACGCCATCCTCTGCCTCCACGTACACCTGAGTATGTCAAGAAAAGACGTCTGTATCTTCGAGTTTAAATCTAAATAATTGTGTAGGCTCAATACAAATTTAGGTGAGAGTGTACATTTAAAGGATAAAGACAATCTTCGGTGATTTAGTATGGAAAAAAGGAAACAATCCAAGAGGCTTACCGTTTCATTAGCGGGTTGCGAGATAGAAGCGAGTTCTTGCGCTAGGTTATCGACTGAGAAGAAGGCGGAGAAGAAGCCTCGGCGCACACCACGTCTCGTCACAACGCCGGGCATGGCGCAGACGAGGACCAAATGACCGTCGGCGTACACGCACTCGGTATATATCTCACGAGAGCAGAGGGCGGAGGGCTGACAAATCGGCAGAACACCCTTCGCAAATCTCTCCGCGATTAAACAATTGTTATTGAATTAGCGCCGCGGTCCTCCCTCGCCCTTTCCACACCGCAACCTGTGTAGCCCTGACTAATAGCCTGTTTAACACTCGTCTCAATAACACTTTCGATATCTAACTAGAAGGAAAATACTTATTTCCTCTACTGTATTTAACGTAAAAGATTTTTTAAACTTAAAACGATTTTAATTTACAACATATATTATGTTTTTTTTAAATTGATTAGCGTCGAACAGGCTGGAGGCTGATTCGGCTCGGGACGGCGTTGCGACACTCACTGTGCCAGAAGGCTTGCGAGCGCGTTGCCGGCCTTTTAGAGTACGCTCTTTTCTTGAAGGATATGGCTATATTTATAATGTGCTGTTTGAACTATACATTTATTTACTAGAAATCTAAGAACCGTATTAGTTATTATAAAAATATAAAATATAATAAATTTTGCTTAGACAAAACCGAAATCTTTACGTGAATTAATATACTCTTCGATCTCAACTCGGCTTGCTACGAGCTGTAGACCATATTGACAGCTGTACAATTATGGTCTACACGATCTACGACACAAGTCACGTGGAATGTACAGATAGCTTTAGCGAAGCGAAAGGTAATCCGTCCAATGCCCCTTTCAGGTAAACTTATATTTTTTACAGTTTTAATTTAAAGAAAACTAGTGACCGATTACTGAATAATTGAATCTCATATCTAAGTCAATTATATTTAATAACACTATTATAGGTTTCCTTCTCTACAATTTTTCTTTTCAGCGATTCAGTCATAATTTATATTTCTTTCAACAAAGTCCACATAAAACACACACAGGCACATTGCAACGTTTCTACATCGAAGAGGGTTCCGGTGATGACAAGCAACGCCTTAATGCTCACTGATCTTCAATTATAGCTGAAATGGAACAAAACACAAATTAGATCATCTGCTGACCATTCTGTTTGGTAATTAATAAACTATTTATTAGCAAAGCTGGTACCCAACACAAATAGGCATTAAAGTTACTTTTTTCAAGTTCCATATCATTTAAGTGAAAAGGGCAGCAACAATTAATGTCCATTGGAAAATTGAGCTTTTAATATTAATTTAATTTACTCTTAAATTGTAACATTAAGCTCTTTACAATATAATAGCATTGTGTTGAGGCACGGATCGTCATGCAGCTGCACAAACATTAGACGCGAGGGGCTGGGAAGGAACGGCAAGAAGATCACAAGAACCTACTAACTCCGCAATGTGACGCCAGTCTCATTACTATCTCTGTAGTAATTAAAATTCTTCTTTTGTGTTTAACAGTAGACGAATTTCAAAATGGTGTTAGGCTTTTTAAAACTTATACATATTATTTATGACACCCGGTAGCTGTGGTGTATATTTCTGTGCGTCGCACGTGCCAATAATCCGCCACATTGGTTTTCCGAAGTATTACGCCCCACGTGTTTGTGCTGTTCCTTATCTTATCAGCAGATGGATCAAAACCACAGGGCCCCACAACAGTTAAGTACGATTATTATTTCACCAATTAAATTAAACACTTTATAATATTCGTTTGTTTATAACAAAAACATAAGTATACGTTGAAACCTAACCCTAAGGTCTTTTTAAGTTTTATTAATCATTGTACAAAAAGTAATGCGGCAAAAAAAATCTTATTTAGATAATATAATATGTATTAACAATTTTTTTTTCAAACGACTTTTTATGTGAAATATTATAACTTTTGTATATTTAAGAGGAACAACTCTATGGTAAGTTTGTTTTATTGTTAAAACGTTCAAATATCGGGTTTAATCCCTGCAGCCCCATGTAGCTCAGTCAACGTTTCAATTGCTTGCTGAAATGATTATTAAATAAAGCATTGCGATTTTCGCCTATCACTAAAAGCGATCATAATTCGCTATTGTCGCTTAAGCGTCAAGTTGAATTAGTATTAAACGAGCAGAGCGCACGTGTGCGGTCTCAGTGCTTATAATATTATTGTAATCATGGCGTGCAACGGATCGACACAGCCGACCACGAAACGCTCTTATGTTCTTTGTAACAGATTTTTTTAGTTTTTTTGACAATACCAAATTTATTTTTAAAAAGTAGTTTTTAAACAACTTGTATTATATTATAGAAAATTTCACGTCAAAAATACTTATACTTGATTATGCTAAAGATAAATGTTACTCTCATAATTAATAATTATATTAAATTATTAAGATAAGATTATATTTATTTTAATCGTTTGATATGAGATTAAATGTGCTTTTCCCGACAAGTGTCGCACTGAGTGGCGGCACCGCATATAACAATAACAACGGGGTCGATTCGTCACGCGGGGGTCTTTCTAATGACCGCATTCAAAGTGCAGCGGGTGCGGGCCGCACGTGCCGCAGCGTCAGGTGTCATCCAACTACACTTTAACAAACTAATAGTAAGGCTTTTTTGCAAAAGGCTCTTGTAATTTTTAATCTCTATTTTATATCTATAGTATTATCAAAGGTAGAAATTCATGTTTTATTTTTATAAAAAAAATGAAAAGTTAAAAATCCTCATCGGTGAGATGCAGGTCAAAATAAGTATAGCAAGTACTACTTGTGAACAGATTCGGGAGTAATGTCCAGTCGACGCTTACCATCCTCTTCCTCGGGCGAAGGTTCCGGCGGCGTCAAAGAGTCTAGCGGTGTTTCGTATTGTGCCTCTCTTTCGCCTGCCGACGCATAAAGCTCCGCTCGGGCCTCCGTCACCTCGCGAACGATTTCTGAAAATTACATTGGTGGGATCAAACTCAAACTCAAACTCAAAATATCTAATGGCTTATTAAAATGTCTAATGCTTTTGAAGTTTAGAATTGAACTTTCTTAACTTTGAAGTAGGGTGATTATGCTACACGACTTTTTTTCATTTTTGAAGCCATAGTATAGTTAATAATATCATTTCATATTTTCGTATTACTAAATAGTCTCACCCGTAATAACATCACGACTCGTAATAATCGACTCGATCTCTTTTGACACCTCCTCTATCAGCCATGGCATGAATTCTTCTTCAACACCTGCAAAATTTTGTGTTTTACCATGTGAAAAAGAGTATGAGTTCCTCAGTTTTCTTTCGCCTGCTTTATTGGCTAAAATAACTTGCTTTAATATAAATGCGTGAAATGTGGTATAAAATCGGTAAACATGTAATCTACACTAATATTATAAAGAGGATAAAATGGATTGTTTGTTTGCTCTAAAACTCGGTCCAGTAGTTTGAAGAATCCGTTCACCAATAGAATACTAATTTTTCTTGATGAACATAGGTAATAAAATATTTTCAAGAAAGAGAAGGATCCGTACGAGGAATTCGATAGTAAAAAAATACAAATAAATATCCCGCGCACGCTGCTGAAACTTGACAACAGAATAAATGAATGAACCACATTTTTAAAGAAGACATCAATATAGGAATACTTAATTGTCATAATTTAATTAGAAATTCATCCATGCAAAACATATATAAATGTTTTGGACGATAATTTTGTTTTTGTAAACAGATTCGATCATTCAAAATATTTATTTATATAAATGCCTGTGGAAAATGAAGTAATTGCAGAGTAAATAAATTGTGTTAGGTAGAGTATGTGCTAGGAAAAAGCCTACGTACCTCTGTGAAGACGTCGTACGAGGTACCCGGCGTCGCGCAGACCAGCCAACACAGAGGGCAGAAGTTCTGCGACGTAGCCCTGCACGAGAGTGGCAGCTGCCACTCGTTGTCGTGCCTCCTGCGCCGATATCGCTGCAGCTCGAGCCTCAGCCACGCGCCGTTCCTTTTCGTGTTGTAGCCGGACGTCCGTAGCGGCCAATCGTTGCCGTTCAGCGAGTTCAGCATCGCGTAACTCTCGGTAGCGGCGCTGTTGCTCTCGCAGGGTCTCGAGCTCCTCTTCTTGCGCCACTTCTCCTAACGCTTGCTGCACGGTCTTGCCGACGAGCACTTCCACGATCCCTTGCACTTCTAGATCGAAGTCGAACAGCTGAAACGGTTATATTTGTATTATTTTAGTCACATTCATATCGTATGTATCCTTATTTGTGTGATCAAATTAAAAGAAAAAAAAAATTATCACTTACGTCTCCAGGATAGATCTGCGTAGCGGCATGCGCCCCGGTGATCGCAGGTACATAGCGCGGGGTAGCGGGCCTGTCCACGAACAGATCCGTCTGGACGCCCGCCTCTACCTCCAGGCCTTTATCGAATAGCTGATAATGAGGAAGTAGAATTAAACTCTTTTAATATCTTTATCTCGTGATCCTCTCCTCGTAGACTTCGCTCATCCTAATTAATCATGTTTGGATTTAAACGAGTACTGTAAATGTGTGCGATCAGTGATGAGCATACATACACTTACCCTCAGTCTAACGGATGTGTGATGGTATAAATATTTTTTCTTTTTTTAATGTTTGTTTTCTTATTTGTCTTTTATCTATTTGTACGGCTGCACATGCGTGTTCTGTATTTTTAAGTTTATTATTTTCTATGTGAGTGTTTGTATGTGTTAGTGTTTCGTATAAATAAATAATGTGTTTGTTAGGCTAAGCGTCGTTTTAAATAACAGCAAGTCAACGACTTAACGTAATTATATATCTGAGCGGATGATTTGATCTAGAGATCTTACCTCCTCAAGGTAGCGCTCTGTCTGTACGGGTAGATGTCGTCGGCCAGGTGCCGGTGGTGGTGTGCCAGGCCGCAGTCGGGCCAGAGCCGCACGCCGCGCAAGCGCGCGACGTCGGGTCCGCGCTGCGCGGGCCGCCGCGCTCTCTTGTCCATCTCCCTGGAAACCACATCTCGAATTTATGATACAAAGTCTATTAACGACAATATTTTTAAATAGTTGCATACTAACAGCTGCATGTGGGTGCGCAGCGAAAGTGCTGCCGCGCACGACGCGCTTGTCGTGCATAACATTACTGTACTGCGCGCTCGTAGCACCCGTAGCACCTGTCACCACACTCCCGCTGTCGACAAAGTACATAATAGTGTAATGTATTTAGTTGGGTCATGACCAAATACTTATTAGCAAAAATAAAGTCCTGAAATTGAAAATAATTTTAATTTATCTACAATAATCTTATAAAGAAAAAAAAAGTGTGTGTGTGTCAGCTACGACGCACGATTGGAGTTTACTCCTTACGAACGATAAAATGGCGATAATGTTCTGTGGCTGTCGACCATATTTTCATACTAAAGGTGGTAAGAATATATCGACGTAGGAAAGCATATTTGCTGTAAGTAGACAAAATACCTAAAGTGACTTTTTACTGCCATTAGAATCAGAAAAAAAAACCGCATCGAATGTCCCGGGTCCTGTGTCTCTACGATGAAAAAAAAATTACATACGCGGTTGAAAACGCTCGTACTTATATTTTTTTAGTAAGATTAAATGCTGTATGTAGACCAAAATCCAGTCATTTTAGACAATTTGTACTTACAGCAAAAGAAAATCTGCATTTTTTACTTTACAAATACTTACTTCTTCCCATTTAAAAACTTAACGCTACTTACAGCATTTCTGCGGCGTGTGATTTTTACATTCGTTTACTTACAGCAAGCTTAGGGAACCTACAGTTTTAGTTTTTTTTTACCATTAACGACATGTTATTACAACCAAACATTACATTACCAAATGACCCACTGCATTTCTAGATCTAATCATAATTATAAACTAATCTTACATCTTGAATTGCAATTGAAAGTACCCAAATACATAAATTTACTGCATACAGCATATTTACCGACTGTAAATTGATAATATTTCCGCGCGTACATTTTTCTTCCTTAGTTACAGCGTTTTAAAGGTTTGTGATTTAAAAAACTGTATGCTGTAACTAGCCAAACACGTACTTATAGTAACTTTGGATAAAAAGTTTACATTGCAAATGGTGACTGGCAGTTAAATAAATATATGTTTTAAAAATGGTAGCAATATCATGGATAGGTTCGACACTATTAATTTTTTTCCGAAATTAATTAAGTTTTTTGGCTCTGGTGAACAATTGCAATATGTCTACTTACAGCAAATATGCTTTCCTACGTCGATATGTTTTTATAATATAAATGTTTGTAGTAGTAATAAAACGTACCTATATCATCTATGCCCTAATAGGATTTTCTTTCTGTGACCAAAGTTACCTTTATAGTAAGAGAAGAATAAGAATAAGAATGAACAATCTTTTTAGTTTTAATTTCACTGACCATTACAATTGACAAAACTCTATGTGATCCAGTTTCTTTTCAATAAATAGAGAGATTCCCAGGTGTAAAAAACTACTGAGACGGGGAGCTTTTAAAAAAATATTAACTAGATTATAACATCAATCATTATACTCGTGATTGTTTTATAAAGTGTGTAGTCATATGGTTAAAACTGGACGATGTGCTTAACTTACAACCGAGATGGGGATAGAAGGAGGTGGTCGACCCCTTTTACTCAGACACCCAGTCTGGGGTTCACGAAGGGGGCACTGACCTGCCTGACCGCCTGACCACCCACTTCACCGGCTTAGCTATTCGCTTCCTATTTATCCTAACCACTAACTACTTACAGTTTTATTTTAATATTAAGGTGGTGAGTAGTAGAATAAGTTATTACAATGAGACGACAACCTTTGAAACTTTACGTACTCTTTACCGAATATAAATGCAGACTGAAATTTGATGAATCTTCTGATAACCTGTGTTACTATAGACCTAATGATTTGTATCTACTTGATCAATCGAGAAAATCTAATCTAAGACGCATTTTAAAGAAATAAACAAACTATCGTGGTGTGGCAGTACGCTTGTGGCGTATCGCGAGCGGATGCGGTCTGCTCGAGTAGGAGTAGAGGGGGGCGGGAGTCAGCCGAAGGAGGCTGGCCAGCGGCGGTGGCGGCGGCAGAAACTCTCCACACCGCACTGTTGTAACGAAGCGAGGTTTCTCCAGTGGCACGCGGGCTTCGCGCGGCTTCAAACGCTTCAGTTTCATGTTAAGGGCCTGCGAGAATTTGTCGTCGAGCATGGTGCGCGCCTCAGGCGGTACATCGCGCGCTAGCGGCCTCACCACGTTCACGTTTCGCGCTATCACTGACTGTTCGTCCCGCGTTACCGTTTCGATAACGGTAAAGCTTGACTCATCGCCCTGACTGTCGCCTGGGGGCATCGTGTGTCGCTTTATGAACAAATCCTAGGTCACGAGGCGCACGGTGCGGGCGACGCCGGACGCGGGCCGATCGCCAATGAAAGCTGCCCGCTGGTTCTTTACGGGTCAGTTACGACCTTTCTCTATTCGACCACTACGGCACGTATATTCGCGCAAGCGCTCAAAACGAATTAGAAAACTCTTTAACCTTAAGTCGTTTGAAAGAAATTAAAATCATAACGAAGACGATAACAAGGAGTAACCCTAACTATGAGTAGACTATATATTACACAATTTAGGTATAAGAAGAAGATATTATACTTATGTAAATTTTAGTGAGAATCTAATTATTTATGCGTTTAGTAGTTGAAAGGGCGTTTCACTAAATAACATAGAAAAGTCAAAATATCTTAAGGGAAAGGTGACCTTCGCACTCGCCTTAATTCTTATCATTCACGCGATATCTAAAAGGTCAATTAAGTATTATTATTTCAACGAAATCTTGAGGTCAAGCTACAACAAGCAATAGCAACTCTAAAGTTAAAATAATGTACCTTCCTACTGGGGGTGAACCATTCTTAGGAGGTTGACTGTAAATGGTTTGGTGGTACACGTTGGCTCTTGCTGGGTTACCTACTTTCAGTTGCAATTTATATAATATATATCAAAACAATAATTTCAAAAGGTCTATATCTTGCAATATTATTATTTTGTAGAATTCTATATAACTAACTTTTCAAACGTCATGTAAACCTGTGTAATGTTACCCATAATATGTATACTGTATAGATCTATGAAAACGCTCCGTGCAATTATAATGGTGGCGTGCCGAGCCCTTTGCGCGACAACACACAGCGGTGGCTACCGCCCACTCAACACGCGATCTCAAGGATTTACAATAAAAAGGAAAGTGATTACACTTACCTCGTAATGTTTCATAGTTCAGAAGGTATTGAGATTAGCGTTGACCTTCCATCTCAATACCTGCTATGAGAGACTACCTATTTTACTTCGGAAAGGCACTTCAGCTTTCAATACCAAAGAACATAACTTGAACAACGGATAAAATTTTACATAAAAATTAAAATAATTCATAATTGTGAGCGAGATGTATGTAGGTTGGTATTCTCTTTCTCGACCAGTCAATAAGGTGGTCACTGGTCAGTTTCATTACGTTTGTCATTCCGGTAGCGTGCACTCGCGTTATCTTTAAACTACTGATATTGCCTGGCGCCGAGCAACTTCATTAATCCTTTATCCACGCAGCTATTTAATTATAGGTTCGACTGCCTCGGAACATTAGAGCCTAGCAAATATAACTTTTAATCTGTATGATTATCTTTTTTATCTCTAAGGTTATGGATATACAGCCATTTATTGATATATTTAGCAGAAATCTTCTCTGGCTATCGTACATGTAGCTTGTGATAGATAACATATTATGATTGTGTAGGCTATAGTGTTATATACTATGTTTCTCTAAACTCACCAAGAGGGATTCCTGCGCAGTTTAGCATTATGATATAGAGCTCGTGGTTGACTAGCAAACGTATAAGGTCCCTTGGGCGTGGCTTGTGGCGCCTCCACCAGCACTGAACGCACCGACACGCTCATGCGAGCGTCCTGTTGCCCGCCGAAGCGCGCGTTCCGTCGCCAGAAACCACTGCTCGAGCAGCGCCGCTAGCAAGCAGCACATTCGCTCATCAGACTTCACCAACTTTGACACTATACGTAACTTCAATCTGTTTTGAAAATAGAACACGAGTAACGAGATCGTATAGCCGCACTGAAACCACAATCACTCATCTCGACTGATGACTTCATGAAATCGTGATGGTTATGTTAAAACTATACAGATATCGGAAATTTCATTGACAGTAAATAGTGTTTGTTACCATGGTAACGGATATCATACCCCTCGCGTGTTTTCATCTATGTTACCAATTAAGACGCATCCAAACTTATTATATTCTACCAAAATATATTTAAATATATACATACAAAATATTGTTTAGTGAATATAATTCAAAACTTACAGTTTCGATGAAAGATCATTTATATCAAAAACCTATGAAAGGTTATAATTTCTTTACTAGATCAGATTAACGACATAAATTAAAGAAATAGATAAAATAAAATTATAAAATGCAGTTAATTCCGATTTTATTAATTTTAAAATCATAGAAAAAGCAGACTGAGTACGAAATCTATTAACTATAACTAGGTATTTCGATTTTGCGTCCTAATTATAATTTTTAACCAGAACTCCCGTCCAAGGTAGCAACGCCATCTATTAATAATTTTAAATAAAATATCCACTTTCTTCCCTCCAGCTGTAAAAGGAAATTTTCCAGCATCGTGCATACGTAGTACGTAAGTTTTGTACAAGATGGCAGTGGCAAAACTCACGTGCGTGTTGTTGTAGTACACCTTATATGAAGAAGATGGCGTTTCCTAAAAATATATTTTATTGTCAAGAGATGGCGCTTTAATGTTATTAATAGTATTTTATCACAATATGCTGTACTAAAGTAGATTTTGATAAAATAATACTAACCACGGGATGAATATATTTTATATAATCTACTCACAATAACTACTACAACTACTGTGGGGCCTAAATCTACAATTGTTTATATTTCCTTACCTCAGCTTCTAGTGTGTGACTTTTATAAGAGATGGCGCTTAATTTATAAAGCAATGTTGGCCTGAAGCGTGCGCTCACAACCCCAGAAGTCCTGCGTTTGAATCACTGCTGTGCACCAATGGATTTTCCTTTCTTAGTGTACGAGTTACCGTAGAGACCCAATAATCAACAGTTTGTGTGAGACACAAAATCACCTACTTTCCAATTAGGAAAAATAAATGACCCCGAAACAGATACAGAAATCTAGTGCCCAGACTAAAAGGTTGTAGCGCCACTGGTTTTTTAATGAGTAGATCTTATTTAAATAAACGAGTATAAGTCTTCTAAAGCTTAATTATCTATTTATTTATTTACACTTCGTTACATTACAAAAAAACAAGTAGGTAATATACATTATTAGGGATGCAACGGGCGGCATAACCTATAGCGAACAAGCGATCTCTTCCAGGCATCCCTAGTAAAATATCTAATCAAATGAAATATTAAGGGTAATATGCAAGAAGTGCTTAGCTACTTAAATCAACAATTAATCAAGGTAAGAAGGAGTTTTGGGATTCAAAAGAATTGAGTATAGAAGATTAAGGAGATGACCGTCACGTCTGAGTCGAATAGGTTTTCTAATGTAATATATCATAATTAATTAATTATATTATTTTGTAAAATAAATAAATTTAAAAAAGGTAGCTACCCGGTCTGCCTGCGGAATTTAGACACATGGTCATATTTCCTAAGCGAATGCAGAAATCTGCAGGCGATCGATCTTATCAAGAAACTCATCATAGGAATGAATCAGAGGTGCATGAGGCCGCGTAATCGAGACTAGGAAGCAGAAGAGATTGCGCTAACATAGTTTCAGTGCGGATAGCAAGGAAATTGGAAAGACGTCTCAGGGCATTAGAAGTGGCGTATAATTTATGGCTGATCCTTTACATTATGACCCCAGAACAACGTTTGAGAAAAGGAACACCAAGAGTTTTAGCAGTTTTATTGAGAGTCCAGGCCTAAATAAAGAAACGGCTTCCGTTGATGATTACTTGGCTCTTGGCAGGATTAATTTTAAGGCCAAAGTCCAATTGGCTCTCATTCATCGTCTGAATCGCGAGAGGAAGTTCTTTTCTAAGAGGAGGTATTCACTCCTTTTACCCTTATAGGTTACACGTAAATATTTTATATACTGTATACCTCCTCCGCCTGTAGGTTTAACTATATCAAATAAATTTACTATAAAATAGTTGTATTAAGTCTGGCCATAAATAAATACTGTTACAATTAAAAATAAACAAATATTACATTCGAATTTGGAATGTGACGTTTTTATAGGATAGTTCATTGTGTTTTCTCATTTTGGCGCCAATACCTTGTTTAATATTTAGCGATATTAAAATGGAGTGGGGTGATAAAGAGAACCGAATCGCTGTGATTGCATTACACAAAGTAGGTATGGAACCAAAGTTTATCTTGGGAGATGAAGATAGCACCTAGAACCATGCCGCGTTAATACGCTAAGTAATAATAATAAATAATTATATTTTAAAAGATGCCTTAGGACTTGTAGCCTATAATAGACGAACTGGTCATTTCTTAACTGAACATTTAAAAAAGAATAGGGTGGTAAAATCGAAACAACTACTAAAGCGCAAAGGGAGGTCTCAGATAAATTTTGTTTACGGAAGAGAATTTTTTTACAATTAAGCAACAAAATGATCGTATTTATAATCAAAGCTCTAAGGAAGCTTCCCAATTAGTCAAAATTGTGCAACATGGGCACTATCCGACTTCAGTGATGGTTTGGTGGGGTATTACCTATGAAGGAGTAACTGAGCCATACTTTTGTGAAAGATGGTATCAAAACTTCGGCACAAGTGTATCAAGATACCATTCTTGAGAAGGTAGTGAAGCCACTTAATAACACCATGTTCAATAACAAAGAATGGTCCTTCCAGCAAGACTCGGCGCCGGGTCATAAAGCTCGGTCTACGCAGTCTTTTTGGAAAAGAACGTTTCGGACTTCATCAGAGCTGAAGACTGGCCGTCGTCTAGTCCCGATCTTAATCAGCTAGATTATCATTTATGGTTTTACAGTTTTAGAGAGTACGGCTCTAAACGGCATGTTAATTTCGAGGCCCTAAAACAATCCGTACGATTGGAAGTGAAGAATTTTCTCATGGATAGAGCGCGTGCTGCTATTGATAACTGGCCTCAACGTTAAAAGGACTGTATTGCAGCCAATGGAGACCACTTCGAATAAGCTTTTTATATTTAAATTGTTTTATGTTTATGTATTAAACTAACACACTGTAAAAGTAATAAAGGTTATTTGCAATAGAAACAAAATATTTTTCTTTGTTTCAGTATTTATGGCAAGACTAGGTAT